GTTGATCGAGATTTTTCTATTGGACCGCTATCCGGAGACTCAAGGTAGATCTGTCGGCGTTCACAGACCTTGAAGTCCCCGTCTATCTTTTCTGTTCTACTGTTTCTTTCATTCAGATAGTTGTATTTCTTTCAGACTATTACTTGTAGTAAATTCTAGAATGCTCATGAATTGTGACTCCAAATCCGGGTGGTAGTAATTAATACCGTTTTTATATTATTTCGCACTTATTATATTTTACCTTAGTTAATTTACTGTTATTTACTAAATGGGATAAGAGATGGTTTAATGATTCTCTAACGTTGGCTTGCCTAGAAAGTGAAATGTTAGGCGTCATTACGGTCCCGATGGTGGGAATTACGGGTCGTGACACTTATTAAGTAGTGCCTAAACATGAAAGGCTACGACCACCCTAAAAAACGGCTTGAAGACGTCCGTAAGCTCGTAATCAGAACATAAGGCCTACATAAAAATTGAAAACCTTCTAAAAGGTTACCCTCAGCAAAAGCATCATCTAAAATCACTTAAGCATCTTGGGAAAACTGCCGGTCACACCGAGTTTCCAAGGCCTCGAGCAAATAAAGTTTCATCGAAGTCGGGCTCTATTCGGACATATGAAAAGCGAACGACTTATTACTATATTTGATTCTATGCTAAGGCATCAGAAATATTTTCAGGAATATAGATTATGAAAAGATGCTAAAAAAGTAGAGACTTGCAATTGCCAGAAAGGGAAATTGTATATATTCCGGAATGTATTTACAAAGGCCCAACAAAAATGACATCAAAATAAATAAAACATATACACAAGAAAAAAAATAAAAAAGTTTTAAGGCATTCAAGCCTGATCTTCACCAGGGCACAACTCGTCGCCAGAACCGTCTGAGCCTTCGGATCCCCCTGAACCCTCGGAGCCTTCGACACCTTTAGGCTTGGAAAGTTTCTTCGCCTCGGCCTCAAGCTTTATTTCTTCCTCGATCTTGGCTGACAGGTCGAAGTCTCGGGCGTGAATTGCTTCGAGAGTCTCCCTTCATGACAGCCGCCTCACATATTTGGCATTGGTCTTCAGAAGGGCCTCGGCTGCTTCGACATCGGCCTTGTATTGGGCCACCATCTCCTTAGCATCGGCAGAGGTTGTCTCCAGCTTGGACTTCATTGCCTCATGCTCTCTACCAAGGGCGTCCCATTCTGTGACAACCGAGCTTAGCTGTGCTCGGAGATCTTCATTCAGCTGATCCCGCTTGTCAGCTTTCTCCTTCGCCACCCGAAGTTGAACCTCTACCGATTTCAGATTTGCACGGGCGGTTTCCTTTTCCGAACCCAGAAAATCCATCTTGCTCTTCCACCTATTGGTCATGTCTTGGATCTTGTTCATCTCCTTTCGAAGTTGGTCGACCTGGTCGATCTTCTGTTGGACCTACGAGGTTTTGTCATTAGCCACTATGACTAGTTCCTCGTTTCTAACTTCAAAGACCTTCACCTTTTTGACCAAGTTGGCATGTTCCCGCCTCAGGGCCGATGCATCCTTTTGAGCCACATCCAGCTCCGCCTGAAGGTCCTTGACGGTCTTGTCTTGTTGCTCGCTGAGGAGCTTGTAGATATCCTTCTTTCAAGCCTGCTCCTTCAGCTCGAGCTCGAGCTAATTAACCTCAACACGGTACTGGATGAATCTCTCAGGGTGAAGTACCGAGGCCTACAAAACAACGAATGTCGTGAGAAATATAAAACTTAAGTAAAATATGAGAAGATATAATGATGCATTACCCGGTTCAGCATCTGCTGCGCCTCATTGAAAAGACACGATACATCCACTTCATTCATTTTTTCCTGGTCCTCCTCGGTCACCAGGCATCGAAGGTAGCTGGCATCCTCCGGGATAGTAAGAATAATCGATCTCTAGCGACCCGGGTCCACACTCGGAGCGGGAAACTGATTAATCAATTTTGGGCTCGAACTCGACACGCCAACTTCCGAAGATATATCCTTCTTCGGGACTTCCAGGTCGCCTAGACCAGTAAAATCTTCCAAAGTGGATGAGTCCACACCATTGAAGAAAGAATGAAGGGGATCGTCCGTGCCATGAACCCCTTCATTGGACTTCTCTTTTCCTACTTGAGCCTCCTCAAGCATGGACTCGGTGTAGGAGGGCGTCACCATAATGTCTATTACACCGCGGTGTCACGACCCAAAAATTCCAACCTTCGGGACCGTGATGGCGCCTAACATTTCACTTGCTAGGCAAGCCAACGTTAGAATGATATTAGCCATTTTAAAATAATTTTAAATTTATTAATAACAAAGAAACCAAAGCGAAAATAAGGTCTGAAATGTAGTGAATAATCCATAATCATAGCGATATCTAAATACCATCCCAGAATTGGAGTCACAAGTGTATGGGCTTCTAGAATAATACAAATAAAGGTTTGAATAAAATTCAAGCTGTTTGAAATATACTACACAGCTGAGATAATATAAAAGGGGACTTCAGAACTGTGAACGTTGTGCAGTTATACCTCAAGTCTCCACTGGTAGTTGTACTCGGGAAAATCTACAGTACGCCGCTGGGACCAACTCCAAAATATGCACAAGAAGTGCAGAGTGCAGTATCAGTACAACCGACCCCATGTACTAGTAAGTGCCTAGCCTAACCTCGACGAAGTAGTGATGAGGCTATGACAAGACATGTATGTAAACCACCTGTACAAGTATATACCAATACAAAGTAACAATAATACAACAAGTAAATATTTATAAATTGGGAGGGAACATGCGAAGGGGAAGGATATAATAATTTCAGCAGGAGGAGTGTCACTTAGCAGCCAATCAATTTATCAACAATAAAATAAGCAAATGATAATATGAAAATGGCATGGCACCACCCTTCGTGCTTTTACTCTCATTTGACACGGCATCACCGTTCGTGCTTTTACACTCACAAATGGCATGGCACCACCCTTTGTGCTTTTACTCTCATTTGACACGGCATCACCCTTTGTGCTTTTACACTCACAAATGACACGGCAACACCCTTCGTGCTTTTACACTCACAAATGGCACGGCAACACCCTTCGTGCTTTTACACTCTTCCTTACCGTAAAAATAATAATATAAATTTGGAAGAGTATTTAAGTGTGGGGATATAAACTTATCAATCAATTTAATACCAAAATACTGACTTCACCTTCCAAAATATTCATCAACAATTAAATGAATAATAATTTCACGAATAATGATCAAATAAGCATGTGACAACTTTTGCAGGAATCCAAGAATTAATATTTGAAAAGGAATATGAGTGAAACAATTACTATAATAATTAATTTATGATTTTAAACGATTTATAATTTTTCAAGTAATTATGCAAATAATTAATTTGACGACGTATAGACACTCGTCACCTTGCCTATACGTCATACGCATGCATCTCACATAACAAATAAATTAAGGGTTCTATTCATTCAAGTCAAGGTTAACCACGACACTTACCTCACTTTGCAACCAAATTCAAGAATCCAATAAACCTTTGCCTCGCGAATTCGTGTCCAAAATCCAAAAATCTAGTCATAAATAATTCAATATACTCAATACAAATCATAGAAATTAATTCCATATGAATTTACTAATTTTCTGGATTAAAATTCGAAATCCATCTCAAAAATCAACAGTGGGGACCACGTCTCGGATTTTGAAAAAACATACGAAATCCAAACACCCATTCTTGATATGAGACCAACCATACAAAAATTATCCAATTCCGATGTCAAATGGACCTTTAAATCTAAATTTTTCATTTTTGGAAAGTTTTACAAAAATTTCAATTTCTTCCATCTAAATCCAAAATAAAGGATGAATATTGACATGAATTTATGAAATATAGACACTTTTAGTTATAGAACACTTACCCAATTCAAAATCATAAAAATTCCCTTTGAAATCACCCAAATCCGAGACTTGAAATGTATACAAATGAGAAAAATATCGGACTGATCGATTTATACACTGCCCAGCGATTTTCGCACCTGCGGTGCCTGGGCTCGCACCTGTGCATCCACTTTTGCGGAAGGAGTTTCTCTTCCGCGAACCTCACTTGCCCAGCCTCCGCTTCTGCGATGGTTAGGACCACATCTGCGGTCGCCCTTTTGCGCAAAAATGGCCGCACCTGTAAAGACCCCAGGCCAGCCCAATCCCGCATGTGCGATGGAAGTATCGCTTCTGTGAGCTCGCACCTGCGATGGAACTTCCGCATGTGCGATTACATCAGATGGCATAACCTTCAGATTTCCTTCTAAGTCCAAATTCGATCCGTTAACCCTTTGAAACTCACCCGAGGCCCCGGGACCTCAACCAAATATACCAACAAGTCCTAAAACATAACATGGACTTACTCCGGGTCTCAAATCACATCAAATAAAATCGAAATTACATTCATACCTCGATTCGAACTTTGAATTTTAAACTTTTCAATTTGCAAATATCGTGCCTAAACATGTTAAATGAATCCGGATCGACTTCAAATTTGGCACACAAATTATAAATGACATAACGGAGCTATTCTAATTTCCAAAATTGGAGTCCGACCCCGATATCAAAAAGTCAACTCTGTGGTCAAACTTGAAAATCTTTAGCCTTTAAATTTCTAGTTTCCGTTAAATGGTCATAACTTGAGCTAGGGACCTCCAAATTAAATTTTGGGCATACGCCCAAGTCCAAAATCACGATACAGACCTACCGAAATTGTCAAAACACTGATCCGAGTCCGTTTGCTCAAAATGTTGACCAACGTCAACTCAATTGAGTTTTAAGGCTCTATTTCACATTTTTATCCATTTTTCACATAAAATCTTTTCGAAAAATTATACGAACTGTGCACGCAAGTCGAGGAATGATAAATAGTGATTTTTGAGGTCTTAGAACAAAAAATTAATTATTAAATTTAAAGATAATCTTTTGGGTCATCACATTCTCCACCTCTAAAACAAACGTTCGTCCTCGAACAGAATTAGAAAAAGTACCTGAGCTGGTGTAAAGGTGTGGATATTTAATCCACATATCCGACTCGGACTCCCAGGTAGATTCTTCTACCGACTGACCTCTCAATTGTACTCGAACTGTTGGATAACTCTTTGACCTCAACTGCCGGACCTGCTAGGCTAGAATAGCTACCAGCTCCTCCTCACAAGTCAAATCCTTGTCCTATTGGAGTGAGCTGAAATCTAACATATGGGACGGATCGCTATGATATTTCCGGAGCATAGACACATGGAACATCAGATGAACTGCTGATAAACTAGGTGGTAGTGCAAGCCTGTAGGCTACTTCACCCACCCTTTCAAGAATTTCAAAGGGTCCAATATACCTAGGGCTCAATTTGCCCTTCTTTCCGAACCTCATTACACCTTTCATAGGTGACACCCGGAGCAATATTCTTTCTCCAACCATGAATGCAATATCACAAACTTTACGGTCAGCATAACTCTTTTGCCTAGATTGAGCTGTGCGAAGTCGATCCTGAATAACTTTGACTTTGTCCAGGGCATCCTGTACCAAATAGGTACCCAACAACCGAGCCTCTCCCGGTTCAAACCAGCCAACTGGCGAACCACATCTCATTCCGTATATTGCCTCATATGGAGCCATCTAAATGCTCGACTGGTAGCTATTATTATAAGAAAACTCCACAAGTGGCAAGAACTGATCCCAAGAATCTCCAAAGTCTATAACACAGACGCGAAGTATATCTTCCAATATCTGAATAGTGCTCTCTAACTGTCCATTTGTCTGTGGGTGAAATGTTGTACTCAACTCAACCCGCATGCCTAACTCACGCTGTACAGCCCTCTAAAAGTGAGGTAAACTATGTACCTCGATCTGAAATAATAGACACAGGCACACCGTGAAGGCGGACAATCTCACGGATGTAAATTTCAGCTAACCGCTCTGAAGAATAGGTAATTACCACTGGAATGAAATATGCTGACTTGGTCAACCTGTCCACAATGACCCAAACTGCGTCGAATTTTCTTTGAGTCCGTGGAAGCCCAAAAACAAAATCCATAGTGATACGCTCCCACTTCCGCTCAAAAATTTCTAACTTCTGAAGCAAACCACCAGGTCTCTGATGCTCGTACTTAACTTGTTGATAATTTAGGCACCGAGCTACAAATGCAACTATATCCTTCTTCATTCTCCTCCACCAATAATGTTGCCGCAAATCTTGATATATTTTTGTGGCACCTGGATGAATAGAATACCTGGAATTGTGTGCCTTTTCAAGAATTAATTCACGAAGCCCATCCACATTAGGCACACAAATACGACCATGCATTCACAGAA